ATATATCATTACACATCCACACAATTAATTAAATATATCATATAATTTCTAATCATACAACAACATCAACCAATAAAACATTCCATAAACTCCCCCCCCATTTAAATTCACCAATTTATATCCTAAACCCACAATATCCATTTAACTCAACAACGCTCAAGACCTGTCACTAAGGTCATCCTAACCCTCAAGGAAAGGTAAGACTATCTCAGAAGTCTCACGGTCAACCTAGGGTCAAACGGGCTTGCGGGGCCCACAACCTCCAAATTCCGATCCGAAAGTTCGTAGAGGTTCTACAGGCTCTAGGACATATGTCCTGCAAGTTTGGTCCAGATCGGACGGTCGGATTTCTCACGATCACACGATCGGACGGTTACTAAAACCCTAACCCCAGGGTTGGCATTTCCGGAGTATCCGGGACTCCGTTTTACGATCCGTCGAATCCTACACGATCCTGGTAATACCTAGATCAACATATTATAATATCAGGACCATCCAACGGTCCAAACCCAGCGAACCCGGAAAATACGCGATATGCGATATCCGTTCGGGACTCTAACGATATCCAAATTGAGATCCGAGCACACCCACGCGCTCGTGACATCGAGAGGATCACAATGGGACAAAAATGCCCCTCAGCTACAGTGCCCACGCGCCGCCACACGCGCCGGCAGCACGTGGGTGTCCAAAGCGATATCGCATCGCGGAAAAACCACGAATCACGGCTCAAGACTCCTACCCTAGGTAAGACCCCTAATTTGGAGTCACTTTTGTTCTTGGACGTACCCCAAAATCTGACCGGAAGTGGCCGGAATCTCTCCTCGAAATCCGGCCGAACCCTAACTCGAGAATCAGATAATCTAGGCTCAAAATTAATGAAATCCTACCCATCCATCAGCTAGATCATGAGGAAAGGATAGATTTCCATACCTTGATCGCCAAAAATGGCGGCCGGACGACGGAGAACGAAGCCGGCGAATTTTCTGTCAAAACCGGAGCTTTTCTCTTCGTTTTCCGGCGAAACCACAGCGGCTGGCGGCGGGACCTGGCCGGGGTAGGAAGAGGACGGCGGCCCGGTCATTTTGGTACCGGCCCCGTCGACTTTGGTGGCCGGACGAGAGCACGGCCGGCCAAAACGTGGCCGGCCACAGTGGCTGTCGCGAAAACCAGAGGAGAGAGAGAGAGACGCGCGGGAGAGAGTGAGAGAGTGTCAGAGAGACGGGGGCAGTTCCGTCTTTTTAACCAAAAACCTCTTTCAAAATATTTACGATTATGCCACTGAGCTTCTTTTGATCATATCTCTCTCGTTACAACTCCGATTCGAGCCCACTACGTGTCTACGGACTCATCTCGCCGTGCTCTACGCAACGGTACATTCGGAATTCTCAAATTCATTCCGGGTAAGAAAATGACTAAAGTACCCATCCCTCGGGTAAATTCTTAATTTCACTCAAATTAATTAAAACAGGGGATAAATTTGGAGTCGGGGTGTTACAGACTACCCCCCTTATAAAAATTTCGTCCCCGAAATTTCATACCTGCCACTCCAAAGGGTGTGGGTACTGGGCCCGCATCTACTACTCGGGTTCCCATGCTTCATCCTCCACAACCAAGTTGGCAGTCAAGCCATTAGCTCTATCCAAACAAGCAGAAGAAGAGAAATCTCTTTCTTCCACTAAGAATATCCTTGAATAGCTGCTGTAATGCTTAATCTTCCTCTGGAAGCTAAACGCTTCCATTTGTGATTTGATTCTCTTCTAGCTCTCCCACGAAGAGAAGTCCAATTTCCTTGACTTGTTGATATCTTCCTTCTTTCTTTAGAATTGATAAGCAACATTGCCAACACGATTCTTTGAGAGGAATGTCAGAAAGGATCATTTTTACCGAATTGTAATCATCATCTTCCTCTCTCTACCATGACCCATTTCTGATTCCGATGAAAGATTTCTGCTCAAACGTGCTCACTGCACACAATCGAGAATTAGCAACATGTTCAGGCAATGGAGGATCTCTAGAAACGAGTTTATCAACTCCATGTTCTCCTGCCCATAAGAACTCAACAACCTCCGTCTGTGGTAAAGCTCTAGCTCTACTTCTGCCTCAACGGCCTTTGTACCTTTCTTCTTCCTCTTTCTCATATTGGTTCCCTTTCCAGAGGGGTAGACAGAAGTAACCCAAGTCGTCGGTCAAACTCCCAATGGCCGAACTTCCAAGAAAGTTTGGAGTTCAAATTCACTGCGTGAGAGAGTAAGGAAGAAGAACCATAAGGTTCCACTCCTGTCAATCGCGGCATTCAAGCCCACGCGAGTGAAATGATACTTCATCCAACACTACTACTTCTCAACTTAATTTGTCACGACCCACCTTGGTCGGACTCACAACTCTTCCATTCCCTTGTATAGGATATTGAGATACGACAATTTCATCTCATCCATCCATCAACTTCCTTTGACAATTTCATCTCATCTCAGCGGATTCAATACTTTCTGCTTTTCCATAGGATATTGAGATACGACAATTTGGATAGACACGTTTCTAGGAACGTGACACCCTTAAGTGTACTCATCAATACCCTAAATCCATCCATGTCAAAGAATCCTCCGCGTCAAAATGATGACGTCCCGTGACGGAACCCATCATGATCCCACAACTTAAGGATGCACACAAGGTGCGGGGTCCACAAGAAATTGAACCTAAGCTCTGATACCAAGCTGACAGGACCCGCCCCGAATTTCCCGGAACCCGAGACGAACCCTGCGGAGACCCCGGCATCACACCCACGCCGGGTTCACTCCTTAAAACTACGTCCTCTTTTACCAGAGAGGATTTAGGGCACTAGACTTTCTGCCGAAAATTCGGCAGAGTCTCCCTTGTAAATTGAACATGCCCCAAAATTTCCACCTGCATAAAACACATTTTATAATCCAACCAGCAGCACGCACAATATAATCTCATGCAACTTACATAAATGGCCTCCGGCCTTCCAATGATTCTAGCAGAACTGCCCACACTGTTTTTAAAATAACTTAATGCATCAAACATGCACCTATCCAATTCAAAATCCATCCATACACACCTTCACTCACTCAGTCCACCGGACAAGCCTCAATTCAACCAAGTTTCGGGACCAACCACGAGGTCCGCATCATACTCGATAAAACCACCTAAGTGGTGTCTAGGTCGTGGCTGCACCTAGGCGCTATCCCAGGCTGCCTACGTACCCTACTAAGGGATCAAGCCACACGTAGCTCTTTCCTATCAATCCTGGCTCCTAATATCAAACAAACCATTCCATCCATATAAATTCATACATTCTAGGATTTCATCCATCTCAACACACCAAACACAATCACATAGCTCCCCTCATACGACGGGACGCACCCGGCCTCGTATAGGGTCTGTCTACACGCCGGCTAATCCAAAGACGCGTGCGACCTCACACTGGGCCTGGCTACATTCTCACCAGCCATCTTACAATCATATCTCCCCTCATACGTCGGGACGCACCCGGCCACGTATGGGGTCTGTCAACACGCCGGCTAATCCAAAGACGCGTGCGACCTCACACTGGGCCTGGCTACATTCTCACCAGCCATCATACAATCATATCTCCCCTCATACGTCGGGACGCACCCGGCCACGTATGGGGTCTGTCAACACGCCGGCTAATCCAAAGACGCGTGCGACCTCACACTGGGCCTGGCTACATTCTCACCAGCCATCTTACAATCATATCTCCCCTCATACGTCGGGACGCACCCGGCCACGTATGGGGTCTGTCAACACGCCGGCTAATCCAAAGACGCGTGCGACCTCACACTGGGCCTGGCTACATTCTCACCAGCCATCATACCATCATATCTCCCACTCATACGTCGGGACGCACCCGGCCACGTATGGGGTCTGTCAACACGCCGGCTAATCCAAAGACGCGTGCGACCTCACACTGGGCCTGGTTACATTCTCACCAGCCATCATACAATCATATCTCCCCTCATACGTCGGGACGCACCCGGCCACGTACGGGGTCTGTCAACACGCCGGCTAATCCAAAGACGCGTGCGACCTCACACTGGGCCTGGCTACATTCTCACCAGCCATCTTACAATCATATCTCCCCTCATACGTCGGGACGCACCCGGCCACGTATGGGGTCTGTCAACACGCCGGCTAATCCAAAGACGCGTGCGACCTCACACTGGGCCTGGCTACATTCTCACCAGCCATCATACAATCATATCTCCCACTCATACGTCGGGACGCACCCGGCCACGTACGGGGTCTGTCAACACGCCGGCTAATCCAAAGACGCGTGCGACCTCACACTGGGCCTGGCTACATTCTCACCAGCCATCATACCATCATATCTCCCACTCATACGTCGGGACGCACCCGGCCACGTACGGGGTCTGTCAACACGCCGGCTAATCCAAAGACGCGTGCGACCTCACACTGGGCCTGGCTACATTCTCACCAGCAATCATACCATCATATCTCCCACTCATACGTCGGGACGCACCCGGCCACGTACGGGGTCTGTCAACACGCCGGCTAATCCAAAGACGCGTGCGACCTCACACTGGGCCTGGCTACATTCTCACCAGCCATCTTACTGTCACTTGGGCCTGAGCATAATCACAATATGAGGGGTACGTGGGGTAGTGCGTATAGCACTGTAACCTAATATTCAATCTCCTTATATATCATTACACATCCACACAATTAATTAAATATATCATATAATTTCTAATCATACAACAACATCAACCAATAAAACATTCCATAAACTCCCCCCCCATTTAAATTCACCAATTTATATCCTAAACCCACAATATCCATTTAACTCAACAACGCTCAAGACCTATCACTAAGGTCATCCTAACCCTCAAGGAAAGGTAAGACTATCTCAGAAGTCTCACGGTCAACCTAGGGTCAAACGGGCCTGCGGGGCCCACAACCTCCAAATTCCGTTCCGAAAGTTCGTAGAGGTTCTACAGGCTCTAGGACATATGTCCTGCAAGTTTGGTCCAGATCGGACGGTCGGATTTCTCACGATCACACGATCGGACGGTTACTAAAACCCTAACCCCAGGGTTGGCATTTCCGGAGTATCCGGGACTCCATTTTACGATCCGTCGAATCCTACACGATCCTGGTAATACCTAGATCAACATATTATAATATCAGGACCATCCAACGGTCCAAACCCAGCGAACCCAGAAAATACGCGATATGCGATATTCGTTCGGGACTCTAACGATATCCAAATTGAGATCCGAGCACACCCACTCGCTCGTGACATCGAGAGGATCACAATGGGACAAAAATGCCCCTCAGCTACAGTGCCCACGCGCCGCCACACGCGCCGGCAGCGCGTGTGTGTCCAAAGCGATATCGCATCGCCGGAAAAACCACGAATCACGGCCCAAGACTCCTACCCTTGGTAAGACACCTAATTTGGAGTCACTTTTGTTCTTGGACGTACCCCAAAATCTGACCGGAAGTGGCCGGAATCTCTCCTCGAAATCCGGCCGAACCCTAACTCGAGAATCAGATAATCTAGGCTCAAAATTAATGAAATCCTACCCATCCATCAGCTAGATCATGAGGAAAGGATAGATTTCCATACCTTGATCGCCAAAAATGGCGGCCGGACGACGGAGAACGAAGCCGGCGAATTTTCTGTCAAAACCGGAGCTTTTCTCTTCGTTTTCCGGCGAAACCACGGCGGCTGGCGGCGGGACCTGGCCGGGGTAGGAAGAGGACGGTGGCCCGGTCATTTTGGTACCGGCCCCGTCGACTTTGGTGGCCGGACGAGAGCACGGCCGGCCAAAACGTGGCCGGCCACAGTGGCTGTCGCGAAAACCAGAGGAGAGAGAGAGAGAGACGCGCGGGAGAGAGTGAGAGAGTGTCAGAAAGACGAGGGCAGTTCCATCTTTTTAACCAAAAACCTCTTTCAAAATATTTACGATTATGCCACTGAGTTTCTTTTGATCATATCTCTCTCGTTACAACTCCAATTCGAGCCCACTACGTGTCTACGGACTCATCTCGCCGTGCTCTACGCAACGGTACATTCGGAATTCTCAAATTCATTCTGGGTAAGAAAATGACTAAAGTACCCATCCCTCGGGTAAATTCTTGGAGTCGGGGTGTTACACTTGACATCTCCAACTTTAGACCTCTCTCGAGTCTCACCACCACCATTTCGCCTCCATCTCCTACTTCAGACCTCTCTCGAGTCTCGCCACCACCATTTCGCGGAAATGCAGGGCTTGAAGGCTCAAATCCTGGCCTCCGTCACCGTGCTGCTGTCTCCTGTCAACTGTGGCTTGACGACACTGTCCACCTTTCTTTCTTTAGAACGGGTTTATCCGCCGAGTCACCGAGTACAGATCAAGCAGCTCCAAGTAGTGGTGTCAAACGGGCTGTGCCGGGCCAGCCCGTCCCATTTAAACTTGTGTTTTTAACATTTATGTGCCGTGTCGTGCCAGCCCATTTAATTTATTGGGCCGTGCCGTGCTAGCCCATTTAGTAAAATCATTGATCCCGGCCCAGCCCAAAACCCATGTCCATATTGAAACAGCCCGGGCCAGACTCGTGCCATGCCTATGCTTGTGCTCGTGCCATAATCTGGCCCAAGAACTAACCTATTCAATTTGAATTTTTTTTTCACTTGAATTTTTTTGCTCACTAGACAATTCAAATTATAAACATTAAAAATATAATTAGAGGCAAGAAATGATGAACTACTTGAAAACATTAATCAATCAAACATCCAAACAATATAAAAGGACGAAGGGCAAAAAGTGTCCAACTCCACAAAGTCCACTTCAACTTTTCATCTTTAAACAACATATTATTTTATATGTGAAGAAATGTCTTGCTTTGATTATAAGAGAAGCGTATGTGTCACATGTATTGATTAGATATCAAGTCCAATGTTGTTTAATTAATTTGTAGTTGATATGTTTAATTAATTAAGGACCTAAGTAATTTTCCTAAAATGAAAGACATCAAATATAGGTTTATGATTTTAAAAAAAACATATAAACAATGACATTAGATGTCAAATTATTGCATTTTGAATTTTGAGAAGAAAAAAAAAGTTAAGTGGGCTGGGCTTGGGCTCATGCCGTGCTTGAAGCGGGCTCAGGCCAAGCCCGGCCCATGTCAGGCTATGGGCTGGCCCAATCCATTAGACTTATTTTTTTATCCCGGCTTGGCCCAAGTTTTAGTACCGTGCCGAGCACGGCCCATTAATATTCGTGCTCGTGTTGTGCCGTACCTCATTTAAACGGGATGGGCTCATGCTGTGCTGGGCCGGCACGTCCCGTTTGACAGCTCTACCTCCAAACCAATGTCTCACAGTATGAGAAACTCATTCCTATCCACCCTTATTCTTACGATCCCATCTGTTTCAACCTTTCTCTATACCTTCTTCGGACTCAACTTTTTTGAAAACCTCAAGCACATGTAAACTTGGCAACAATGACTCAGGAAGAATCTTTAAGACACATCATGCATTAAAAGCTTTTGCATTTTTAGTGAAAATTAAAAGTTCCATCTTGAACTTGACATCTCCAATTTTAGACCTCTCTCGAGTCTCGCCACCACCATTTCGCCTCCATCTCCTACTTCAGACCTCTCTCGAGTCTCGCCACCACCATTTCGCGGAAATGCAGGGCTTGAAGGCTCAAATCCTGGCCTCCGTCACCGTGCTGCTGTCTCCTGTCAACTGTGGCTTGACGACACTGTCCACCTTTCTTTCTTTAGAACGGGTTTATCCGCCGAGTCACCGAGTACAGATCAAGCAGCTCCAAGTAGTGGTGTCAAACGGGCTGTGCCGGGCCAGCCCGTCCCATTTAAACTTGTGTTTTTAACATTTATGTGCCGTGTCGTGCCAGCCCATTTAATTTATTGGGCCGTGCCGTGCTAGCCCATTTAGTAAAATCATTGATCCCGGCCCAGCCCAAAACCCATGTCCATATTGAAACAGCCCGGGCCAGACTCGTGCCATGCCTATGCTTGTGCTCGTGCCATAATCTGGCCCAAGAACTAACCTATTCAATTTGAATTTTTTTTCACTTGAATTTTTTGCTCACTAGACAATTCAAATTATAAACATTAAAAATATAATTAGAGGCAAGAAATGATGAACTACTTGAAAACATTAATCAATCAAACATCCAAACAATATAAAAGGACGAAGGGCAAAAAGTGTCCAACTCCACAAAGTCCACTTCAACTTTTCATCTTTAAACAACATATTATTTTATATGTGAAGAAATGTCTTGCTTTGATTATAAGAGAAGCGTATGTGTCACATGTATTGATTAGATATCAAGTCCAATGTTGTTTAATTAATTTGTAGTTGATATGTTTAATTAATTAAGGACCTAAGTAATTTTCCTAAAATGAAAGACATCAAATATAGGTTTATGATTTTAAAAAAAACATATAAACAATGACATTAGATGTCAAATTATTGCATTTTGAATTTTGAGAAGAAAAAAAAAGTTAAGTGGGCTGGGCTTGGGCTCATGCCGTGCTTGAAGCGGGCTCAGGCCAGGCCCGGCCCATGTCAGGCTATGGGCTGGCCCAATCCATTAGACTTATTTTTTTATCCCGGCTTGGCCCAAGTTTTAGTACCGTGCCGAGCACGGCCCATTAATATTCGTGCTCGTGTTGTGCCGTACCTCATTTAAACGGGATGGGCTCATGCTGTGCTGGGCCGGCACGTCCCGTTTGACAGCTCTACCTCCAAACCAATGTCTCACAGTATGAGAAACTCATTCCTATCCACCCTTATTCTTACGATCCCATCTGTTTCAACCTTTCTCTATACCTTCTTCGGACTCAACTTTTTTGAAAACCTCAAGCACATGTAAACTTGGCAACAATGACTCAGGAAGAATCTTTAAGACACATCATGCATTAAAAGCTTTTGCATTTTTAGTGAAAATTAAAAGTTCCATCTTGAACTTGACATCTCCAATTTTAGACCTCTCTCGAGTCTCGCCACCACCATTTCGCCTCCATCTCCTACTTCAGACCTCTCTCGAGTCTCGCCACCACCATTTCGCGGAAATGCAGGGCTTGAAGGCTCAAATCCTGGCCTCCGTCACCGTGCTGCTGTCTCCTGTCAACTGTGGCTTGACGACACTGTCCACCTTTCTTTCTTTAGAACGGGTTTATCCGCCGAGTCACCGAGTACAGATCAAGCAGCTCCAAGTAGTGGTGTCAAACGGGCTGTGCCGGGCCAGCCCGTCCCATTTAAACTTGTGTTTTTAACATTTATGTGCCGTGTCGTGCCAGCCCATTTAATTTATTGGGCCGTGCCGTGCTAGCCCATTTAGTAAAATCATTGATCCCGGCCCAGCCCAAAACCCATGTCCATATTGAAACAGCCCGGGCCAGACTCGTGCCATGCCTATGCTTGTGCTCGTGCCATAATCTGGCCCAAGAACTAACCTATTCAATTTGAATTTTTTTTTCACTTGAATTTTTTTGCTCACTAGACAATTCAAATTATAAACATTAAAAATATAATTAGAGGCAAGAAATGATGAACTACTTGAAAACATTAATCAATCAAACATCCAAACAATATAAAAGGACGAAGGGCAAAAAGTGTCCAACTCCACAAAGTCCACTTCAACTTTTCATCTTTAAACAACATATTATTTTATATGTGAAGAAATGTCTTGCTTTGATTATAAGAGAAGCGTATGTGTCACATGTATTGATTAGATATCAAGTCCAATGTTGTTTAATTAATTTGTAGTTGATATGTTTAATTAATTAAGGACCTAAGTAATTTTCCTAAAATGAAAGACATCAAATATAGGTTTATGATTTTAAAAAAAACATATAAACAATGACATTAGATGTCAAATTATTGCATTTTGAATTTTGAGAAGAAAAAAAAAGTTAAGTGGGCTGGGCTTGGGCTCATGCCGTGCTTGAAGCGGGCTCAGGCCAGGCCCGGCCCATGTCAGGCTATGGGCTGGCCCAATCCATTAGACTTATTTTTTTATCCCGGCTTGGCCCAAGTTTTAGTACCGTGCCGAGCACGGCCCATTAATATTCGTGCTCGTGTTGTGCCGTACCTCATTTAAACGGGATGGGCTCATGCTGTGCTGGGCCGGCACGTCCCGTTTGACAGCTCTACCTCCAAACCAATGTCTCACAGTATGAGAAACTCATTCCTATCCACCCTTATTCTTACGATCCCATCTGTTTCAACCTTTCTCTATACCTTCTTCGGACTCAACTTTTTTGAAAACCTCAAGCACATGTAAACTTGGCAACAATGACTCAGGAAGAATCTTTAAGACACATCATGCATTAAAAGCTTTTGCATTTTTAGTGAAAATTAAAAGTTCCATCTTGAACTTGACATCTCCAATTTTAGACCTCTCTCGAGTCTCGCCACCACCATTTCGCCTCCATCTCCTACTTCAGACCTCTCTCGAGTCTCGCCACCACCATTTCGCGGAAATGCAGGGCTTGAAGGCTCAAATCCTGGCCTCCGTCACCGTGCTGCTGTCTCCTGTCAACTGTGGCTTGACGACACTGTCCACCTTTCTTTCTTTAGAACGGGTTTATCCGCCGAGTCACCGAGTACAGATCAAGCAGCTCCAAGTAGTGGTGTCAAACGGGCTGTGCCGGGCCAGCCCGTCCCATTTAAACTTGTGTTTTTAACATTTATGTGCCGTGTCGTGCCAGCCCATTTAATTTATTGGGCCGTGCCGTGCTAGCCCATTTAGTAAAATCATTGATCCCGGCCCAGCCCAAAACCCATGTCCATATTGAAACGGCCCGGGCCAGACTCGTGCCATGCCTATGCTTGTGCTCGTGCCATAATCTGGCCCAAGAACTAACCTATTCAATTTGAATTTTTTTTTCACTTGAATTTTTTTGCTCACTAGACAATTCAAATTATAAACATTAAAAATATAATTAGAGGCAAGAAATGATGAACTACTTGAAAACATTAATCAATCAAACATCCAAACAATATAAAAGGACGAAGGGCAAAAAGTGTCCAACTCCACAAAGTCCACTTCAACTTTTCATCTTTAAACAACATATTATTTTATATGTGAAGAAATGTCTTGCTTTGATTATAAGAGAAGCGTATGTGTCACATGTATTGATTAGATATCAAGTCCAATGTTGTTTAATTAATTTGTAGTTGATATGTTTAATTAATTAAGGACCTAAGTAATTTTCCTAAAATGAAAGACATCAAATATAGGTTTATGATTTTAAAAAAAACATATAAACAATGACATTAGATGTCAAATTATTGCATTTTGAATTTTGAGAAGAAAAAAAAAGTTAAGTGGGCCGGGCTTGGGCTCATGCCGTGCTTGAAGCGGGCTCAGGCCAAGCCCGGCCCATGTTAGGCTATGGGCTGGCCCAATCCATTAGACTTATTTTTTTATCCCGGCTTGGCCCAAGTTTTAATACCGTGCCGAGCACGGCCCATTAATATTCGTGCTCGTGTTGTGCCGTACC